TGTTTCTAATTTATCGTTTGAAAGATGTTTTGCTTATTTACTTGCTTATTTATTAAAAAGGTAGCAAACAACAAAAGAAAAATTATTATACTATTTTGCATCATCATCAGCCAATAAAAAAAAAGTTTATTAACTCAGCAAGGAAGCAGTGAAGATATTGTTTATACTGGATTTTGCAGAGTGGCGTTGCACTGCGATAAGTTAAAAAAAAATTTATGATTTTATACGCATTTTGCTTGTGTGTTCTCTTTTTTGTTTTAAGATCAAATCTGTCGGATTTATTATTATAAAACGAATGAAAAGTACAAAATTTTGTTGGTATTTCGTTTTATGATGATAATATTGATCCAAAAGAAATCAGTCAAATGGAAAATCATCTGAATAAAATATTTGATTATTCAAACATGTTTAATGATCCTGCTGAACTAATGTTGTATATTGACTCGAATCGAATTGCAAAATTTGTATTTATTATTTCAAGCTGATTCACTATATGTTTAGTTCGAATTGTTGTTAAGCGTAAAGAATTTCTCACCATCTATATTCATTGTTAACAAATATAAATGATTATCAAATGTATTGTCAGTATTCGAAAGTTAATCATAATCTATTTGACAGTATGAATGATTTATTAACTAAAGTATCAAGCGATATTCATGATTATGAGATGCAGGAAGCGCATGACGATAATTATGATGATCAAATTTTTATACAAGCACTGCCATCAATAAACCTATTTAATTCAAATGTTAAGGAAACACCTATGTGTAATTTAACTAAAGAATCGATTGCATTCGTCTGGTTTCAAGTGCTGATAGAAATTTTAACGCGTCTTGAACATAAAGATGACGCAAAACAAGATATGGTAAATGAATGTCGTGCACGTTATATAGATAAACAAATATATTTCGATAAGATTAAGGAATTTGACGAATGCTACAGATCACACGAAGCTATTATCTGGTATACTCTTAACACCTTTTTCTTTCATCTTTTAAATCAAGCACTTCGAACAGAAAGTATACAACGTATTCTTCCTTTTCGTCTAATGATAACTGACATACACAGTTACTTATTGAATATATGAAAGCTCCAAAAAAACGATCGAAAAAGCCTATCGCGGTAAAATGTTACTTACGAATACGTTACTTAGACTCATTGATAATCAGAATGGTCTTATATATCAATGAATGGTGTTTTATCAGCGACACGAATTGAACGTGTTGCACTCATGTTTGCTGATGAAGGTTGCATACGTCCAGATTATGAATCAGTTGTATTTGAATTACATCTTAGTACTATAAACACTTGTACAAAGCCATTTGCTGATATAGTACATTTAACTCTTTCGGGACGGGCGTGGTATATATACCACCTGGAGTATTTCTCAAAATTTGAGGATGATATATGTTTCAAATCAATCAAAAGTAAGTGGACGTAGTCTGTTGAGTACTTTTCCTATGTTGGTACAGTAAATCATCAGTATTTCTAAAGTGTCGTAAACATCCACAGTGTATTAAGTAGTTTATAACACTACATAGTGAAATATTCCCTCACTTTATCATAAATTCTTTATTTAGATTTTTCTAATACATTCTAATAAGTCTAGATTGATATTTTTCCTATTCTCCTGTATACATATATATACATATAGGAGCTTTGCGTCCTCTTATCCATCGCCACTTGCCTCAAAAACAGCTGCCCAAAGGAAATGTCATGTATGCTCTCATACAATACAACGTGAAAAATCAATCAAATACACAAGATATTAGTGTGAAGGATGTAATGTTGGATTATGTATAACTAATTGTTTTCAAGCTTATCATACCTTAAAATACTTTTGATACTGATTTTTCATTGAATAAACATCTATTTTAACTCTAATAACAGACTTAATTTTTTCAAAAAAAAACCGTCCCGAAAGGGTTAAGTAAGATGAAAGACGAATTAGAGGTATTATTTTCATCTGGAACGATCTGGCGTATTGAATCTGTTTCTCATAATGATAGTAATAAACGTTGGAAAGTCAAATTGAAATTAGGTAGTGATAATGATTTAGAATCCATTCATTTAATGAATCAATTAAAAAGTCGATTAAATAATGAATCAGCGTGTACATTTATGACATTAGGTAATTTTTTACTTGAGTTAAGTAAGTATGATGAAGTGGAAATTTATTATCGACGAATGCTGGATGAATTACCACCATTACCACTAAATGGTAAAGATAACAAACGAAAAGGTATGATTTATAATAGTCTTGCTGTTATTCGATTTGAAGAAGAAATGGAGAAAAAAAAGCAATGGAATATTATCAAAAAGTTCTAGATTCTGAAGGAAACGAAATCCACCCTTGGATTTATCAGCAGTCTATAATAATATAAGACAGATTGAGTTTACTAATGGTTACTATGAGAAAGCAATTAAATCTTACACAAAAGCTTTAGAATTAGCATTTCGATCCATACCTAATACATATCTGTGGATTATCGATTATAAAAAAAATATACGAACAGTATATCGATATATGAGAAATAAATACAAAGAATAAAAGAAGTTTACGTCGAATAAACGTGAACTATCTTCTACACAAAATCATGTAGTGATCGTTTAAACTCTCTATGCGCTTGGTTATTTTTGATTATTTGTTTTGGACCTTAATAACCCCTACTTCCAATGAGGTTATCTTGTCCAGAGATCATATGAGAGACAAGTGTTCGAGCAGATTATCAGTCTCAGCAGATGTTAAGAACCCTTAGAGAAAAAACGAGAAATTTGAAAGAAATTTTTCGTTGATTTTTTCCTTTCGTTACAAATTAGGCCGCTACTATAGATATTGTCTATAGTGGCAGTAATTTCTATTGAAAAGGAAAACCAATGAAAAATTTCTTTCAAATTTCTCTTTTCTACTTTTTCTGCTTTCTTTCCATGGTCTAAAAGTTCAATTTTTTTATAGATATAATAGGTGTCATGCGCCGTAGTAGTTTATTGAATAGAAAGCCTCGTGCTCTATTACTAGGGCTGACAAAAATCGAGATAAAACGTGTGCACGAAAAGTGTGGTTTTATTGAATAATGTGAAAAACAAAAAGTATAACAAATCTGTATATCTAGCACTGTACAAAACTAGACTGACGCGAAAAATAAAAACTTAAAGAAAAAGAAAACTGGACAGTACATATACAAAAGAAGAAGAAAAATCACGCGGCTAATACACAAAGACATAGAAAAATGAGAAACGAAGCTTATGATCTGACAAGGTCATAACGACAAGGTATTTTTTGAATAACTTTTGATAGAAATAAGATAGAGAGCTGCGGTTTTCACCATTGGAAAGAGCAGATAAAGATGCATCGAGTGGCACATTATAAAATTTTCCGAGCTACGTGTTATATGATTTTCAATTGATCTTTTTAAGAACAACACTATCCAGTAAGATGTTTTACAGTGAAGTGTCAATAATCAGGTGCGCATTCAAACTACTAATTGAAGAACTACAAACTGCGGAATGCTGAGATGAATAATATATATTCTAGTTGAGCCTTTGATACAATTTTCTAGCAATTTCCGTGAGAAATGCTCACTTTTATGCTTTTTCCTTTTTTCATAAAAAAACCATTTTCCCGATAGTTAGAAAACTGAATACAAATACTTCAGAAACCAATATTACAAAAACTTATAATACACGATTCGATGCATCTTCATCTGCTCTTCCCAATGGTGAAAAGCGCAGTTCTCTATCGTGTTTCTACCAAAAATTATTCGAAAAATACTCACTAGCATTGCTGTAACCGTGAGACATGCGAAAAAACAGCTCTTAGAGGAATTTCGTTATTATAACTTTAGTTAAAATATGATCAAATAGCATAGAAAAACAGAGCATTCTTTTCTCTATCAGACTATATAGAGAGAAATTTCTTAAAGCTTATTATACGGTATTAAAATGTAAAAATCACTACTCTTGGTATGCCCTAAGTAGTTAAAAGAGAAATCAGTATGATAATGACACACTATTTATTTTCATAATTATGTGACATCTGTGATCCTTCAAAATACCTGGAAAAGGTGTTCTACAGATTTTCTAGAAAACTTTTCACGTTGCAAAGTTGCTGAACTTGTTTTTTAATAGAATACAACATAAATGTTCAGATATTGAGTTTATTTTCTGTACACATTTTTTTTGTTTATCATTTTATTTTCTATGACATTTACGCGCTGATGCGAAGCTATCATTCATCTTTTCAATCAATTTCGACGTTGACAGCCGATGCGTTTCTGTATTTTTCAGATCAGCGGTACATTTGATCAATCGAGTGTACTGCAAAAGGCTCTTGCGAATAATTTTCATACTAATTCAAAACTAGATGATATGTTCGGCGTTCAGATATTTCGACCAAAAGACAAAGAAAACAGCCATAATAATAGAAATTTAGATACATTTAACTTATATAATGGTGATAATTTAAGAACAAAGATGTGTCATACAGCAGTGTTTTTATGTTTTATACGTGACTTCAAATAGAGAACCTGTTGAGCACAGAACGCCTAAAAATGGCATGACAAAGATAGTCCATTCAAGCAAGCTATCGTTCAAAACTATTAAGATAGAGTTAGTTCACATAATTTATCAAACGTTGTTAAGAAATTTCAAGTTTTCATCCATACCATTCACAGTATTCCATTGCATACCGATGTGGTCACATATAAAACACTTTCAAACACAAACTAATCTGCCTTTATTTTCAAAAGGTTTTTCTTTCATTGTGCTCGGCGTTGCGTACGATGAACACATGGTTGTATCTTTTTCTGACAACCCTAAATAAGTCTCAATAATTCCAATAATATTTAATAAAAAAATGGCATGTGAGTAGCAAGTATTGTCACTGCATTTCTAACTAAATCTACAGCGTTTTCTTTTTCAACGCTGTGAGAAGACTTTCATTTGTTTACGAAGTTTATATAAATTAACATCGTCATCATCAAGTAATCGCCGAATAAATGTTAATAATTTTAGATCATTTATTTTCAATGTTTTTATATTCGATGTCATTAACAACAAACGTTTCAATGTGATATAATCACAACTGCCAATAATTTCTAATATTATTATTGTTTCTAATAATAATTTTCTATCAGTTAAAATATCCGAATCTAATCCATTTTCTATATTGATTTTTAATATTTCTAAATTTAAAAATGTATCATGAATAAATTTAAATAATTCCATTGTTAATGGTACTCGATCATTTAACATTAATGTTTGAATTTTATTCATTTTTATATCAAATGTATTCATATTTGAACAATATTTCACAATATTATTTTGTATAATATAGAAACAATCGTTGAAATCAGCTGGATTAGAAAGTATAGTGCAAGTTTTATCTGTTGCACCATGATAACATATAACTGAATAATTGAATGTTTTAAATGTGCTTATTAAGCGATTTAAATCAATTGTCCGTTTTAATACACAAAGTTTAATGTAAAAATCAATCCTTTTTAAATTTGTGAGTTTGAATAGAAGACTATTCTTTAAACGATGACCATTAATGAATTGACTATTATTGAATCTAATTTTTAATGTCAAATATTCTAACGATTGATAATATTTTATAATTAATAATTCAAGTGAATCATAATCGATATATGTTCCAGTAATGATGAATTGATTTAAAAATGGTGATAGTCGTTGTTGTTTAATGATATTATAGTTTTTTTGTTGATCACTTTTGTCAATTTGAACATTTAAATACTGTAAACGTGGTAAGTTTTCACATAATATATTCAAATGATGTTGATATTCTAACTGACATGTTAACTCTTTAATACCAGATGGTTGTATATTGTTGATATCAATTGCTAATGAGATACCTTCAATTGTTAAGAATTGTAAATGACAATCATTTTTGAATAATTGTGATGACAAGTGTCGATCAATAATTATTGTTGAAAAATCAAAATTCATTTTTAATGATGACAATAACTTTTTAAATATTTTTATATATGATGGATATTTTCGTTGATTTGATGGTATATTTACTAATACAACACCGTATAGACATGGAAATAATTCAATTATATTAAAGATTTTTGGTGATAAAAATGTTTCATCTAATTGTTTAAAATCAAATTTAATTGTAGTTATTAAATGTCGAATTGACGATAAATATAGATGTAATATGTTTTTATCGGATCGTGTTAAATCAATTGGTTCGACAAATGGATGTATAAGAGATGTGAGACGTGGATGAAGATTTGAAAAACTATAAAGAATTTCTAGTGGATCCAAATATGTTAAAATAATATCAAATAATTCTGTGGGCAAGATTAACAATTGCGTTGGTTGCGCTATAATAGAACAACGGGATGAAAATTTTGTTTGTCAGTTGGACATACGAGTGACACAGCATCATCTTGCGAAAATGTAAAAGTTTTTCTCCCACGTTTTCTTCATTTTTTGTATGTTTTAGGTTTATTTTTCTAGACAAAAGAGTGTGTAGAGTCTGTGAACATTTCGGAACATTCAGCACATTTTGTATTCAATTTAGAACGCTACTGAGGTCTACAATATTGTGAAAAACTATAGTACCAGATTAGGGATGCACCGAGCTTCTAGTATACCCGAAAACTCGAACTGAGTTACCCGAAGTTCAAGATATCCGAAAATTTAAAACTACAAAATTAGTTTTTTTTATGAATGTAGTTTCACATTCTTATACCATAAAGCTGCATGCTCATATTACCGCTGTCTAGTTGACTGCGACATCTGGCGCTGCTGTAGGAGAAAAAATGGTCAGCTTTATTCAAACATGAATGCAGTTCATGCTAAGTCGAAGGTTTATGTGGCACTGACAAAATATTCTTTCTCTTTTGAATTCGATTTGAATTAGTAGTTCGATTTTCGGATAGCTTGAACTTCGGCAGCTCGACCTAGGTGCGTACCTGGGCGAGATCGAACCTAGCTTCTCCCCTTCCATTTCTCTTTTGTTAAAAGTTTCGAAAAACACCAAAAATGTGTAAACGTATGCGTTCGAGTGTCTTCTTTCCGAATTTGTCATCAGGATTTTCTGAAGTCCTTTATTTTTGTGAAACAGCTTCTTTCAAAAAAGTATCCTTTTTTCCTGTGAAAAACTATACGACCAAATATATCTGTCGCCATCTTCTTTTTCTCTTTTGCATAGCTATTTGTGTTCAGAAAAGGTTCTAAAGGATGTTTTCTCGGACGTTTATATCGTCAAAGTTCGTCAAAATCTTATTTTATTTTGCATCGTAAAAATATACGCTTTTTACGCTTCGTTAACATAGAGACTATGCAGTTTGTAGTCAAAACCATATATAAAAACATGTTAATGCCATCAATTTAAGAGCAAAAATCACTTTTATATTAATGACTGTGGTGAATCACTTAACAAAATCATCCTTACTACTTACCAGAGCTCCGTATGGACTCAAATTTTTGAGTCCAGTCCAGTCCGAGTCCATGAAATCCAAAAAATCTGAGTCCAGTGCATACGGAGCTCTGCTACTTACCACCACATTTTGTCTTAGTTTGAAAGTAGAATTTAAAAATCATATGCAAACGTGATCAAAATTCTGGAAGATGTCTCATTGCAAAGAGAACGCTTTGCTCTATGAGGCAATGTTCGTGGAATGCTGGAGATGAAGGCATTTTGTAGCCCAGGCTTTCATCCACACAGCTCACAGCTGAAAGTCTTGTCCAAAAGTAGGGAATACTCTTAACAGTAGCAGTTTTACAGTTCAACATTACAGTTAACCGCTTCTTAACTGTAACTGGTGCACACCTATCGGCTAGTAGGCATAGGCTATAATAACTTTACAGCAAAAAGCGGAAATTTATGAGAAATGAATCACAACTAGGCATGCATCAATACCAATCATTACTGAAGACATTGTCAATATTATTGGGTATCCAATAGGATTCGAATCCAATATTATTGTATACCAAATATTTTAAGATCAATAATATTGGGTAATATTGGGTTCCACAATACACTGGATTTCACCTTTTTAGCCTTAATATCATTTACATTAATAATAACATAAGAAAGCATATCTCAATTGAGATATAAAAATGTGTCCCGATCGGCATTAGGCATGCACCGATTTATAATCGACGTTAAGGTATTCAGCAAAGTTGTTCCGAATCAGTTATAAAAAAGCACATACAGCTGCCGAATCTCTCATTATGTAGAAAACTGTTTGCACTACCAAACTGAAGAATTTTAGTGTTATCTGTGACAGAAATATAAGCACCCAAAACTGAGCAAAATTACGAAAAAATAATCGATTATCGATTATTTTTCTGCGATTTTAGTGCGTTTTCGATTTATCATATTTTTCCTATATATAACATTAAAACTTTTTTGGCACTTTGGTTTGGTAGAGCAAACAGTTTTCTACATAATGAGAGATTCGGCAGCTGTATGTGCTTTTTTATAACTGATTCGGAACAACTTTGCTGAATACCTTAACGTCGATTATAAATTAGTGCATGCCTAACTGGGTTACATTGTGATCGAAAATGGGATACAGAGCATGCGTCTGTACTGTAAAAGTAGGCTGAACTCATGCAGCCCTATACGCAAAAATATTCTAAAAACCCAATATTACTGGAAGCCAATATATTGTATTGGTGCATGTCTAATCACTACGAATACATCGATGTAAGTTGAGTAAAGATTATTCACATTACATCTTTAACGATTGGAAAATACCTCATATGGCGTAACGACACTCATTTCAAACTATTTAGTAAAACAAAGCGAGAAAAAAAAGTAAAGCGATTAAAATCAGAAAGTGATAAACCGTTCCACTTTAATTCAGAGATTCAAAAGAGGCAGTATAAGCGTGTGGGGCGGCGCTATGACAAGTGTGCCGGTGTTTGTTCTCTCCTCTTTTTTACGAAAAACGGGTCAACGGTCCTGCTTATGTCAACACCGTTGAAAAAGTTTTGCCACCACTATTTAATGTCAACATAGATTCAATATTCAAGACGACGACTGGTTATATATGCAAGACAATGCCCCTGCTCATACGTCAAAATTTGCTATGTACTGATTTGAGAAAAATGACATATATGATGAAATAGCCAGCTATGTGTCTCCTGATTTCAATCTAATCGAAAACATTTGGGATATGATCGCTAAAACATTGAGATTTATGAAAGTAACAAGTTTTAACGAGTCGGACCAATTTGCACAAGTTTTACCATTTATATATGTAAAAACTTGATGGATTCAATACTATGTCATGTGCATAGATGTATCGAGTGAAAGGAGAAACATTCAGTAGATATTGAGACAACAGTACAAGATATTAGTAAAGGAAAATTGTGGTCCAATAATTTTTCACAGAAAAATAAGGATAGTTTTTGAAACCTGTAACATAAACAAAATGCAAAATGTAAAATAGCCCGTAATAGACTTACTGCGGTCAGGTCCAATCATCCACACTTACCCATAACTAATGCTGTTTTCGCAGGTAGATCTGACGGTTTTGTACACAAATGCTCCTTTAGAAAAAGAAATAAGATATCACGTAACATATTCTGAGTTGATGGTATTAGTGGGAAAATTCCCACAAGAGAATTTGATTAAGAAAGTAACAAAGAATGAATCACGTTTCTGACATATGCGTGAAGAATCGAAACGAAAGAAAAGAAAAAACAAATCGTTAAGGTGGTTGATCGCAAGTAACTTAGAAAATAATGAAACATGGTGATGACTGAATACATTATATTTATTCAATTGTTTACAATTTAAATTCATTATCGCCATAGTTTTATTTTCATTCAGGTTGTCTTTTCATTCTTGATTCAAACAAGTTTTGTCCGCTGTTTCAATTAACTGATCATCCTGACTGCCATTTTAAAGAAAAATCACTTAAAATGTTGCCTTTATGAAATCAGAATAATAAGTCAAACACTTTTCTTTTTGATTCTTCAGTGTTAGTTATATGATCAATTCTGTGTCCATATGGAGGCACTTTGTTCCTTCTTTCTTATTAAAAGAATACTGTTTGAAAGATCTCCTCGAAAACCTACTTCAGAAAAGTTTTTCCGAATTTATCATATATTTATGATTCCTAAAGGATCTTCAGGAGAACTTCAGAAGACCTCTCCTATAATATTGGTATTTAAAGCAGTGTAAAAGCAAATTTCGAGCAATAGTATTGCTTCTAAAGGTTGCAGATAGTGGTTTTCTGGTTCACCGTGCCCGATGACCCCCGTCTTATCATTTTCATCCGATCTAGTTCAAAAAGTAATTCAATCAATACGATTGCTTCTAGAGGACGCTCATACCCATTTTCTGACTCACCAGGGTCGGTTACCCACACTGTAGCACTTTCATGGCGGAGACCCTTACACTTTTCGAGTTATTGCATTTTTATGCTCTGCGGACGCCAATGCCGACATTTATTTCACATGAACCCAGACCTTCAGTTGACCGAACAATATATTGGACCATAGCTATTTATAATAATACCACTACAAATATCTGCTTTTCCTTTAATGCTCAAACATAGTATATTTAATAAAAAACATAGACAGTATGATGAACATTTAAAAAACTTAGCAGAACAATAAAACGTTGGTGGTTGTGTTGTCTATGAATAGTTTCGATTGACCGAATGAATACCGATGCCAAATTACTTTGATGTTCGACTGCGTCGAAAGTAAAAAAAAAGAAAGTGACGTTGACTTTCGGTTAGTTTGTTAATTTGGTGAAATACAAAATTTTCATACGATTGAAGCGCTTGCTGCTTTAAGACCATCTTGACCACCCCAGTTAAGAGCTGTTGATCTGTCTACATTTGATATAATTTCATTTATTGAAGCATGCAAGTTGTTTGTGTGTGCTGCTATCATCGGTAAAACGTGTGATTGTAAAGAACAGTGCAATAGAAAATATTGTGCATGTAAAAAACAAAGAGTGTTTTGTTCGATCAAATGTCATTCAAAGCGTAGTGCTTGTAAAAATATCAAATAATTAAAGCACTCCACAAAATAACATACATAACTATGAGGGGAAGCTCCGGCTGAAGTAGCGATTTCTAGATCCAAAATACTAAAAACAAGCATGTTTGAAATAAAATCGATTTTCCCAGTTTTTGCCTTGTGGTCGCCCAAAGGGCTACCTTTCAGTATACCTGTCCACAGTGATTTTGTAGAGCAAACAGTTCTCTTTCATATGAGATGGGAATGAGCCCTGAGAATCAAGCCATTTCTGACATATTAAACAAACATTGATTTTATCGAAAAATGGATCTTCCGGTGAGGGCTAAAGTTAAGTCCACTAAATTCTTGAATAGTGCCATACAACAGAGATACCTTGGATTTCTTGATTTTTCGATGAGCTGTTTCGAACTAGAATACTAAGAATAAAAAAAAAAAGAAAAGCTCCGGCTGGTGTGGTCGGTATTCACACGGACTCTCTCTTAATCACCATCGGCAACATCATAAATGCAATAAAAAATAACTATTTTAAAATAAAATGACTTTTGGACCCTACGCTAGTAAATAGTCATTCAGAAAGTGAAACACAGCGGAAAGAAACCGAAATTTAGAAGAAAAAGGTGCCACACCACTATCGGTTTCGACCTTTGCCAAAGGGTATCGTCAGGTGGCTTATGACACAATATGCGGAAAAAAAAGATAGAAATCAAGCAAAATAAGAAAACGCAGCTCTAATGTACATACTTGTATGTTTTACCAAACTAAATATACAGTTTGTATGAGATAGTTGACAGAATATTATTGGATAAATACAAATAACTGATATCGCTTCAAATTTACTCCCTCGTGGTGGAAATTCCAAGTCTTATCAACAATCTAATGGCTAAAATATTCGTGAGTTAAGATCGATTTTTCAAAAAGTTAGTATATTCTTTTTTTAATAATATCTCGAAAAGTAAAAGATCTAGGATGATGTGATTTTTATCATAAGAAAGATCATTATTCGCTCTTTTCACGTTGAAAACAAGTAACACGTTATCTCGCCTAATTTGTAATATATGATGTAAACAAAAAAGAGCGACTTTGGTGCTGATATAATCTTTTTCCTTTTAGGTTTAAAATCAGCGTGGATAATTATTTTTGTCTGTCGTCTATGGCTAGCATGGTTAAAAAGATAAAATATTTAAAAATCAATCATCAACACCAGTAAATAAAGATAAACATTTTGTAACAAGAACAGCGTATTTATCAGTTGAGTTAAATGCTCATAATTTATTATATCTGATATTAATAGTCCAACAAAAACAATTACCAAAAGAATCATTATATATTTTTTTATTTAATTCACAATCTTGTGTAGGAATGTTCTGAAATGCAAGATCGTTAAGTGGTGCCTATTCCACAATAGTTCACAACTCATGATTTCCTTCGGCATGCTGCAAAACTATCATTACTAAATAAAATAAAATGTAATGAATTAACAAATCAAACTGGTGGACGCATATTATTTCCAATTCATCATAAACGTAAAACTAACAATGATTTATTTACAATACAAAATTTAGATGATGTTGATTATTTGGATATAGAACAGGTTATATCAGAATTATATGAAGCATCAGTTGAATTAATTGAAAATTTAGGAATAACAGCATTATGAAAAAAATAGCAAATTTATAAATTAGAAAAATTAAGTAAATTTATATTTAATGAAGTAAATTCGAAGTCAAAAGTGTATAATAATTTAACAGGAACAATACACGATGACGACCACATGAGTTCAGAAGCAGACGATTGTGAATATGAAAATAACGATGATGAAGACAACGATAATAATATTAGTACCGATGAAGACGAGGATGCTGCATCTGATAATGATGAAAATGTTGAACGTGTTCAATCTATAAAAACAATTTTTTCTGTAACGCGCATCAAAGATAAAATTAATCCTGATTTAGCAAACTCATATTTCAAAGTGAAAATTAATGATACGATGAAATTCTTACATAAACAGTCAGCAGTATGGCTGTTGACCGACAAAAATGATCGTCTGCCAACCGATAGGTTATCACTAGTTATGGAAAACAGCAAGTAAAATTAAATAAAAAATGATTCGAACATTTTCGTGTGTTGAGGCATCAATTATATGATTATTGATATCAAAAATATAAAATATTTTTCATTAATAAAAGAATCTCAATGATGCAATTATATACTTAGATATCTGATAAGGTTGCTAACTTTTCGTCCCCGGACGGCTGACTTCTAACGTTAGACTATTGCTGCTCCCAAGGAAAGACGAGAAGGCGCGATGCACTCACCTGTCTTGTTAGTATGATGCCACTTGATAATGAATATATTTTACAAAATAGTAATAAAAAACACAAAGAAACGAAGAGTATAAAACGATGAAGAAGCGATCAAGAATACGATCTAAGATGCAATACTAAACACGACTAACTCCTGACTACTTTTAACTGCTCCTCCTCCGAATGAATAATAGAAAAACACTGTACACTCGAATATATATTATATCGAAAAGAAAATCATAGAGAGAGACGGTGAGTATGAATCGAACAAAGAAAAGAAGGAGACCAAGAATAAGATAAAAAAATAACCAGAGATAAGGACTAGTCAATGATAACAAATATAGGTAAGGAGAGAAAGAAGTAGGCTATGGACTGGAAACTATATTACCACCCGAAAATAAAAATAAAAAACAAAACATGTGCATAGAACTATGCACAAAACATGCTCTGGACTAGTGCGCTAAGTATATGCTGTATACTTAACAAAGATTAATCGATCTGAATCTATTGATAGATAAATGAGGAGAACGGCTCGGTCTAAAAGCTTTTAGTAGAAGTAGTGTGATCCTATGAACTACAACTCAGCAAACAAACAACGAGTCATCGATATATAATATATTAATAACTTTAAACGAATCGAATAAAGCAAAATGAAAAAGAGATATCAGTATTGAAACCTGAGGGTGATACAGATGGTGTCCTTTGACAGTTTTAGAAGTTTATTCAAACTCTAGAGGAGTTCTAAGGAAGCGAAGAGAATCCTATGGAATCCTTCAGAATCCTAGCGAATCCTAGAGAATCCCAAAGAATCATAGGAAATCCTTGGAATCCAGGGGAATTCAGGATTCCGTGCTTTCCCCCTTGGTTATATCTCAAGAAGTTTAGGAGCCATAGCTGACGTAAGGAGCGAGGTCGTGCAATTAATATAATCCAAACTAGATTTCTCATAATGCTATATTTTGGCCGAAAATGTTTTACACTATAGTAAACATTTATATCTAACTTTTGTCTGGGTAGACTTTTGAAATTTTCCAATGCTGGTTTCTTCCATTCGTTTCACGTTAAAACTCTGTAAAAGATAGCGTATACACCAGAGAATCCTTAAAAAAGGGTTTATAGGGCCGAAGGGTTTGATGAACTTTCTATAACTCTTAATGGCAACGTGTAATGTTATTTTCCAAAACCCTTCCTGAAGGCTTTGAGAGCGTTAAACGTTTTTTTCGGTTTTTTAGTGATTTTCGATTGCGCTTTTTGATTTTTAGCACTTCGAAACTCTTTCAGAAGGATTCTGGAGAATATCATCGAAAGGAACTTCTGACAGTTTAAGAGAGTTCATAAAATACACATAAAACCTTTGTCTCTCGCAAATTCTTTTTTTAGGCTTTTCTACTCAGGTCAAAGAATCTTGCTGTAAGATCTTATAAGATTTTATAAGATGGATCCGTTTCTATGATTTTTCGTAAGATTTTATAAGATCGTGTATGATCTTGATCTGATTTTTTGACCTGGATAGTCTGCGCTTTTTTTTAAAGAGAAGCCTAATTCTTCTATATTCCACAGGTGGAGGATGTAAAAGAATAAATAGTGTACAGTAGAGTGGGAGCGGTCACATTTATTAATGTCGAATAGCGTAGAGTTAAACCTCAGAGTGAGCAGGAAGCAAAAAGCTAATTAGTACTTAGTTATTGAAAAGTATTGACACCATTGATGACGACGTGAGTACATTGCAATCTTGGATTAATTTTCAGTTTATAGAAATCAATCGAATTTCTGTAAATAATTTCCAAAAATCTGGATATTCGATTTTGATTTTCTGTAAACTAGAAAATCCCCAGGGATTTTCTAGAAAGTGGAAATTCGCCCAGGAATTTCTAGACCAAATACTTATTCACCTTTTTGTTTTGCAATCAGGGTAGGTATAAGAGCGTCACGTAAAGACACTCATATTACACTTGAATCAGCTTTGAGAGATTTATAGAGAAAGTAGGAGGACTTTTATCGATGAACAGCTTCTTGTCCACAAGTGCTCAAGAAGCTGTTGCTATGCGGTTTGCTCGCAGCTCATTAGGCAGATCCGATATTGCGTCAGTTCTGTTTGAAATGATGGTTGATACCGAGAAATGTAGACAACCGTTCTCAAATATAAAAATGGCGAGTGATTTTAGTGCAGAAGACGAAATTCTATTTTCGATGGGCACCGTGTTTCGAATTGTCTCCATAAAGAAGGTGTTTGGAATGTCCGACTAGAACTGAATGGAGACGAAGACATAGAGTTAAGCCTGTTAACAAACCATATAAAGCGTGAACTTGGTGAATCGAACGACTTGAACACGCTGGGTATGTTGCTGATCAGAATGGGTGAAAATAGTAGAGCAGAGCAATATTTCCATATGTTGCACGATGACACCTCGCTAGATCAAAGTGATCATGCATTAGCACATAATAACCTCGGAACAGTCTATGACAATCAAGGTGATTATGAGAAAGCATTGAAATCTTATGAAAAATCTCTTAAAATTCGATTGATTTCACTTCCACCAAATCACCCTGATATTGCAACAACATATAATAACATCGGACTGGTTTATATGCATCAAGGTGATTATGAGAAAGCATTGAAATCTTATGAAAAATCTCTTGAAATCTATTTGATTTCACTTCCACCAAATCACCCTGATATTGCAACAACATATAATAACATCGGATCAGTTTATGATAATCAAGGTGATTATGAGAAAGCATTGAAATCTTACGTTTAAACGTTTAACGTTCTTCAATCGCGTGAGCGTGGTGGGGAGCAGCTGCCAGGGGGATTGAAACACTTGGCTTTCTCGGATTTTGGCGTCTACTCTTAGGAATTGGAATAGGAGGAGATTATCCCATGTCGGCTACAGTCTCATCGGAATGATCATCAGCCGGCCGTCGGGGTCAAATGGTTGCTTTGACATTTTCTATGCAAGGTTGGGGGCAGTTCTTTGATGCACGTGTCGATATCATTCTATTAGCCATTTTAAATATGCAATTGAAGCTGATCAAATGAATATTGATTATGTCTGGCGAATTTTGCTTGCTGTGGGTGTGTTGCCAGCAGTATTTGCTATCTACCACCGTTTCACCTTACTGGAGTCTCCTCGTTTTGCTAAAAATGTTCTCAAAGATGAAGCCAAAATGGAAAGAGGAATTAAATATATGAGAATGAAAAACAATAACAGTTTAGGGCAACAAAATGAAAAAGAACATGCGGCAGCCGTGGTAGAAGTTCCGGATCAGGAAGACATTAACAAACTAGACAAATAAAGACAAACAATCGACAAACGTCATCATTTGCGCGATTTTGGCCAATACTTTTCAAAATGGAAACACCTCAAAGTTCGTCTTGGCACATCGTTATCATGGTTTTCACTTGATGTTGCTTTTTACGGTCTATCGTTGGTTTTATCGGCGATCAGATTTGCACCCACGAACACATCGCCTTGGAATACACTATGGAAACAAGCGATCAGAAATCTTATCATTACCTTGTTAGGATCGATACCAGGCTACTATTTTACAGTATTTCTTCTTAAAAAGATGGGCCGTAGAACAATTCAGTATATGGGTTTTATTATAGAAATCATTCTTTGCACGATAATAGCTGCTGCTTATTATTCCCTCAAGGAACATGTATTACCTGCATTCATCGTCCTGTTCGTCGTACTCCTTCAGTTTTTTTTCAATTTGGTGCGAATACTACAAAATTCATTATTCAAGCGGAGGTTTTCCCTAAAAGATTTCGTGTGACAGCTCACGGAGTTTCAGCTGCTGCAGGGAAGGCTGGCGCAATTTTAGCTGCGTTTGCTTTCAATGTTCTAATTAATGTAGGTGGTACGAATGCATTTTTACCACAAACTCTCGGAATATTTGCGGCTATTCAGTTTTTGGGTATTTTTACAACAATGTTGATATTAGAATCAAAAGGAAAAGGGTTAGACTACTTTGAAGATGATGAAAGTGAGTGGCAGAGAATACTACTACTAAGAAAGTGTAGGCTGATAAAACCAAATCAACCTCAAATTGTTCACAAAATGTTACTTTTTGGAACAATTTTTAGGTGTTCTTCTCCTGGATTCGATCTTCCGACCTTTCATACGCTGTACTTCTCCAACTACGCATTTTCCCATTGCACTAAATTGTGCAAAAGGAAACTACGAGTTATGATGATACATTCGTATGAAGGTCGTACACTAAGGTCGTAAAAATTGTTCCAAAACGAATATCTCTCCTATAAACAGTATTCTCTAAAATGTTACTTTATGTAAGAGTTGATTGTCCGGCGCCATTTATTCTTGAGACGAAATATAATTATGTAGGTGAAGTTATTAGCAGATTTTCGGAATTTATCTTGATATTTTTTAGTGTACATCTCCTCAAAAAATATCAAGATAAATTCCGAAAAGCTGCTGCTAACTTCACCTGTACGATTGGCATAAGTGCCATTGGCAGAAGTACGATTGGTATAAGTAATGGTAAGTACGATTTCGCAATAATGAAAGAAAAAAAATGTTTTTAGCGTCTGTTTTTACTTTTTTCGCTGAAAAATGATAGAAACTAATTTAAATATGATATTTCTATTCAAATCAACATATTCAGATAGAAAAATCCGAGTGGGCCGATTTGCGACCGTATGAACACCCGTCCTTCCATAAGCTATTAGAAAATCGACAGAAGAAAATTTCATTGTTTATATTCTTCACGTAGCCTATGGTAATAATGATCAATATGATCAAACTCTTCAATAGGGAAAACAATTAATTAAATTGTCTGCCAAACGAAGGCATTTTCATTGATTCAATTTAGTCTACAAATCGGAATAGAATCATATACTATTATAAAACAGTATGATATAGCTTTGATTATTTACATAAAATTATTTAAATATGTTAGTTTAAATCAATGGTTCCCGTTCGGACTTGATATCTTTGAGAAAATCGATTGGCTTTGAACAATAGCTCTGCGAACCTATCGCGAAGCGTTTTTCGTACTTTTCTCAGACTGAAACAAGTTTCAAGAAAAGTCTTATGTGCCATTCGATGCAGCTTTACACGACGCACAAACCTATCTGTTACTCAATTGTTATGTACATGTATGGGTCTTCACAAACTTTGCGAATAATGGAAAAAACAACCAGAAATTTTACGATTTGGAAATATATTACTCACTGCATTAAATATTGCCTGTTCAAAATCCGATACAGCACGTTTTGGTTCAACAACAATATTATATTTATTTGCTTGTTCAATAATTGTTTTCAATATTTGTTCATATGTTTTACCACTTTTATCTGAT